ATATAGTTAAAAGTAAATTCTAAAAAGTTTATCATAGATTAATCATGAAATTTTTTAAAATAAATTTTTTTTAAAAAATACAAATTTTTAGCTTCTAAGTAACATTAAATTTTTTATTATAGAATTAAAAGATAAAACTTGTTATAATAAAGTAAATTTTAAAAGAAGTTTTATATATATAATTATATTAAATTAATACTTTTTATTATTTGATTACTATAAAAAATCATTTCCCAATTTTTCAAAAATGTGACCTCGCGGGTTACAAGAACCGATATAAAGAATCAATATTTGATTTTATCACCTCGTGACATAAATGTCAGAAATAATAACTTTTTGAGTAATATTTATGGTGGGAATGAGGTTGATTTTGAAATATTTCAAACATAGATTGCGTACATTTTTATTTCTGCGCAAATGCGAGTAAAAATTTCGAAAAAAAATATTATGTAAAATAAATTATTTAAAAACATATTATAACAGACGCAAAGAAGACTGATTTAGTCAAAATTCAAGAAACTAGAACGGTTTAACGGTTTACAAGTACATTTTATTCATAAAATCACATGGTACATTTACTATTTGAATTTAATTGTGTATATAAAAGACAAGGCATTACTCTCTATAATATGACTAGAATACTGGGATTAAGGAATCGGATAGAGATTCCTAGCGAGATATATTTTCCTAATCCGGACGAGATTTACCCCAAAAAGAGTATTTCTTGCAAGCATGATGATCGTCGTTCGAGAACTTCATGAGGATAGTAATATAAATATAATATTCTGAACCCGATCATAGCCAGGTGTTTTTCTTTTCTTTGATTCTTCGATAATTAAAATCTAATAATAGGATAAGAATGAAATTTTTTACCCTTCTTATGATTTTTGATTTTACGCTACATGAATCATCTGAGATAATTGGTTAGTACTCAACAAGTGCTCCTAATGCCATCACTAATTATTCTTCGTCCAAAAATCCAAAAGTAAAACCTTTCTTTTCATTTTCTTCTTTATTGTCGGATTTTTTCAATTGATCCCATAATGATGATGATCTCTTGTCATCTTTCTTTTCATAATCATCCGACTCCAATTTATTCAAAATTCTCGGATAAAGTTTCTTAAATTTTTCATAAAAATCGTTATGAATATCTTCATAATTAGGCCATACTAAATTAGAAAAACCAGATATTTGATATGGTTTATCACGAAGAAACGAAAGTACGTTTCTTAAGTTCCAGGTCCCAACAAAATTTTGTGTCTATTTTTTTTTAAAAAAATATATAAATAAATATATATATATATATATTTTTAACGTAAATCATTAATGAATTATCACAAATTAAATATATGATAAAAGATTCATACTATAGCAATAGAATCCTCAAGATTAATGACCATGTGCCACCATCCATTCGGTACAAAAATGATCTCTCCCGCTTTACAAATTACTTCTAACGGACGTAATTTTGATTTTTGTGTTTCGTTATAGAAATTCAAGTGCCATTCCATTATTGATACCGGTGATGTTACTTCAGCTTCATCTATATAAAAAGAAAATTGATCAATTTAATTACAAGAAATGGCAGCAATAAATCGCACGACAATAATAAAAGTATCTTTATGAGAACCAAAATACCAGCGCTAGTAAAAACTCCTGGAGGTAAAACATCAGGTGGATACAATATCCATTTCTTGGAACCTGTTATAACAGCATTCCAAGCAGATGTAGAATTTGGATCTTTATGAAACGTAGAACCTGAACGTGCTGGTCCAATGATTAGCCACCTTTTAAAATATAACCTATTACATATTTTCTTTTTTTTTAAAAAAAAAAACAAGAAAATAAGATATTGTTTCTAACCTATAATCGGGCCTATTCACTCCAAATATATTAAAAAAATCTTCTTCAAAATACTCTGGTAAACTAAAGTCATCAATTATTCCATCACATTTATCACTAAATTCTTTGTCAAACAAATATAAAGGACTTTCGTCCATTGTATTTTTACAGTACTTAGCATAATTCCTTAATTTAATATCAATAGCTTCGGCACGAAATGTAACATCTCCATATTTTTCTACAAGATACTCCATATTCCATTTTTCAAATGCTGGCCACTTTGTTACAACATCTGTTATAATAACAGGTTTATTAGGTATAGCATACTTTCTAATAAACTCATTTAACTCTAAATTCGATCGTCGATCTATATTTTCAACTCCCAAGTACGAATTCATCCCCGTAGAACTACATAAAAAAGGTTGAAATAAAGTATCACTATAGAAATCAGTTAAATGTATTGCAGGTTTCAGAAATATATCTAAATTATATTCACTGCAAGATCTTTTTAAAAAGGTTTTTCTCCAGCTTCCTTGCCAACACCAATCTCCCTTATAATTTTGTATAGTAAGTTGCTTCCATAAATCGTCAAATGTCGAGAAGCAATAAAAAACCCTACTCGTTAAACCCAAAGATAATAGATCCTTAGCATCTAAGACTCCTAAGATCTCTAGAATTAAATCATCTGTTAAGATTGCTATATTTCCTAAACTAGAACCTCTACGATCTCCTTTGAATTGATCTTTTGAGTCAAAGTAGTAGTTTCCCCAAGGTTTGATGCCAAGTGGATGTCGCATCATCAAAATGTTACTTTTCTTCTTTCGTCGAACATGATTGTAATTCTTTGCTGTATCAAACTCATCATCGATTTTTCGTTTATTAGATGAACGATCTTGAGACAAAATTGTATACATTTGTTATATATTTATATTTTTTTAATTTTTTTTGAAATTTAAAATGGTTAATGCAAAAATTTTTGTAATGCAAATGTCAATGTAAAATGAAGATCATAGATAAGTCGGAAAATTGCTCATGTAGTGAAACACGTCAAAAAAATTTAATCACAGATTATAGATTATCGTAATATTTTAAGAAAAGATTTTTTTTAAAAAAAAAAAAGTCATCTTTTACCACTACAGCAAATTTTAATTATTTTTTTTTTTAAAAAAAAAAAAGAAATAAGGAAGAAAGAAAGAAAGAAAGAAAAGAGAAAAGCGAAACAAGAATAAACCCGAAAAGATATTATTACAATACTAAAAAACACAAATTGCAAATATCAATTTCCTTTGCAAGTAAAGTCAATTAATTAACCATTATTTTCAACACTTCAGTTCGATTGGACATTTATGGTGTTCTAAAGCAACAAAAGTAAATATATTATGATAAAACAAACAAATAAAAAGAAAAAATATATTTAAGTAAGAAATATTAAATGATGGAAAAAACTGGGTATATAGTAAAAATTATAGTTCTTTGAAAGCACACAATTTTATTATTTAAAAAAGAAAATTAAGGATAATTTTTGATTTCAATAACATCTAACAATACATTTATTTATCCCAATTAAGTCTAGTTTTAATATAAAAAAAAACCAACCTGACGCGAAATCTACACCAATCAAGATGCATAACTATAAGTAAGAATAAAACAAGATGTTAACATTAACGAATAATATCCAGCGTATTACATTACCATAGTAAGAAACGAAAAATTTTAGAAACTTAATTACCGTTTAGTCCATTCTTTAGCGATTTTATCATGTTCCTCACGATCATGCAAATATTGATGTGCGATGCTTCCAACCAATGGATCATCTAAAGAATACATAGCTCAATTGATAAGTGTGAATCGTAATGTAAGTTATGCATAAAAGTAAAAAACTTACGTGGGTTGGCATCGGTCAATAGTGAGCATATCGACAACAAGACTTTAGAAATTGTCAAGGCAGGAGACCAATTGTCTTTAAGAATGTCGAGGCAAATTTGTCCTGAGGAATTGATGTTGCAATGATAGATACGTGTGCGATACACCACCTTTGAAATTTGATAACATAATAAACATATATAAGTTAATAAAAAATTCAACATAATATAACGAAATTTCTTAATTTAAAATCACAAATTTTGCTTAACATAATTAATTGAAAAACAGCGAAACAAATTATATAAATTATGTACCTTTGGAGGTTTGAATGGGTAGTCTTGTGGAAAAGTAATATCCAGAAAGAAAATGCCTCCAGCATAAGGCGAGCCAGCAGGACCCATAATGGTGGACGCCCATTCATACAAATTATCACCTTTAGGGCCAGCGCTAAAGTAATGAAACAAACAAAACAAATTTAGATAAGAAATCTAAATATTTTTCGATCTAATGCAAATCTAAAAACTAGTTTTTTTGAACCTGCAATTGCAAGGGGGATCAAGACTGATTTCAGCAAGTTCTTTCTGGATCCTAATAAGAAGGTAAAAATAAAAAAAAGTGTATATTGTAAAAGAAGGTCAGAATTTTAATTTTGAAAACTTGATCAAAACTAAATACAAAACTTTTAAAAAAGATCGCAAGCGTGTGTGTTTAATATTTGTATAGAGGGTAAAAGCTAAAAGTGTATTTCACCTCTTTGCACTACTACTAGTAGCATTAGTCTTGGATAAGACACCTTTGCTGCTAGATGTAGATGTACTTGCTGAAGCCGAAGTTGAAGAAGTAGTAATAGTAGAACGAGAGCCTGCGCCGCGTCTAGAGGAAGTGTTCATGTTGAAAAGTATTCTTCTTTTATGGTAGTATACTGTATAAAGTGGAAATGAGCTATCACTCAAGAGAGTTGAGGATGGAATATTTAGGTTATGTTTCGCTAGGAGGTAAGCTGGAGATTGGGAAAACGTGCTTGTGGTAAATGTGCTTGTTGTTGAGTCCTTATTTGAATCAATTGAACACTTCAGAAATGGAGATAGAATAGGAAGGTGACCACATCCCTTTTTTATACACAACCCGCATATCTGCCATTCTATAATTGTATTATTGTATAATATTATACACTTTCGAAAGTATAAAAAGCTTATGACATAGTATATAACCGACTTTTCTTTCAGTGCATCTAGGAGAAATCTGGTAGTACGAATGGTGGTTTTGTGATACCAAATTTGTGATCATAAAAATTTCTCGTCGACTCATTTCAAAAAAGAGTCGCCGCAATTTTGAGGTACGAGATACAAAATATCGGTATTGTTCAATGTTGTTTCATTTTCACATTTTCACATTATAACTTATCACGTTCTTCCGAGTTTTCCGAAGAACTTCGAGTGGTTCGGTAAAATGCATTAAAATATAACCCACCAGGTTCATTTTTGATTTTTGGAAAGTAAACACGTGTAAGATTTATTTCATTATCCCAAATCAATGCGAACATCTTTATACTATTTTAAAATATTCGGTGTGTTTATACATTTTAGTTTCTTTCGCGTGAATGCTTCTTAATCTTGGCTTTTGTGTCAGTGATATAACAAAACAAAGAAATTACGCGATTTCTTTGTGAAAAACAAAAATTTAATCTAAAATATTTACCCTGCATCACCCGAAAAAAATCATTATCACGTGATACATTTGCTGATCATGGCATAAGATGGATAAAGAAATTCTTCCTTGTTTTAAAATCATATACAGTATGTATTTTTTTTTATGTTTATTAATATATATATATAATTATTATTACTTATAAATTACATTTTTTAAAAAGCTAAATTCATATATAATAATATAATATAATTACTATATAAATTCAAAATACTTTTATAATATATATATATTAAAAATAAATGCTCTTTTTAAAACTTATAATCAAAAGAAATAATAAATAGTATGATATGAATGGTTTAAAGCCACCACTTTTAATCACATGACTTTTAAAAATAGAAGTGACCAGCCAATAAACTATTATGAATAAACTCTGTTAAATGATAGATTATATCATTATATTTTACATAATAGAGCCCTTTTTTTTTTTTACTAAATAATCATTAACATTAAATATATAAAATTAAAATCAGAATATTTCATTAAATCTGATATGAATTTGACCATCACAAAGTGACTAAAATTACAGAAATTATCAAAAATCTAAATTGAAAAATCTGTAAATTATCATTCTTAAAATAGAACTATTAAAAATTAGATACGAAGCATATCCTTCACATTTTCCTTGGGGGTTTTTTTTTAAAAATAAGATTTTCTTTGGAACTGATTATATTGAAAATAAGAAGAAAAATTTGTCTTTTTTAAAGAAAATAAAGAATTTTTTTTAAAGAAAAAAAAAACCTTCTAAATTTTTTTTTAAAAATAAAATCCATTTTCTAAAAAATAAAAACTAGAATCCTTTTGAAAAATGAATTTTTAAATCAAAATTTTTTTTAATAATGAAACAAATCTGAATCTTATGAAAAACCCAAGGTTTTCTTTCTTTTTAAAAAAAAAAACTTATTTTTTAAAAGATTTTTTAAGATATTGCTAAATATAATAAAGGTTAGAACTAATTCAAAAATCCTTAACCAGTTAATAATTGGTTAAAAAATTTTTAACCAGTTAATTAACTGGTTAAATTCAAATCAGTATTATAAATTTTAATAAAACTAATGATATTTTATAATCACAAAAAAAATTTAATTTTGCTTGAAAATTTAATTTTAACTAAAGTTAAAATTAAATATTTTAACTAGTTAAAAAAATCTTTAATTAATTAATAAGATAACATATTAACCAATTATTTATTAGTTAAAAATTAATCAGTTCTAACTTTAAAATATGGAATTTTCAGTATCTAACAATTGTAAAAGAAAATGTATTAGTAGGTATTCATTATAAAATATTAATATATATGAAAAATTGATATTAATATATTTGAATTTGATGACTAACTAGATATGAATTAAAAGCTGAGGAATTAATATGATTTTAAACTTATATTTATAAATGCTCTGTTTAATTTATATAGTTTATTTTGTATATTTAATAAACATTTCATAAAAATATTATATGATAAATAAATAATATTTCATATTTTTATTATAAGCTTTTATATATATAGTGAAAACTTGATATAACGAATTCTATAATCTGGATCTTAACTTCATTATAAGCCTATAACAATATTTTTTAAAGAATTTAATTGGTTAATTCACCATCTCTTAGACTGTAGAGTAGGCAAATTTGCCTGCGAAGTTAAAAAAAAAGTGTTAATTTCTTAATAAAATATTAAATATTAATTTTATTAATATC